GGCGGGCGGGGCGGCGGGGGAGGAAGTGCGGCTCTGCCTTGCCCGGCGCCTGGGCCACGGGGGCAGCGACCTGGGTGCCCCCTCCCTCTGTCCTGGCAGGCGCTGCCCGGGGCTCCTTTCCTCCGAGCACGTGCGCATCTGCTTGAATTGCCACTTCTTCCCCATCCTGTGGCAACAAGCTCCACCGCCAAATGAGGCGGCGTGAAAAAGAGATTCCCTTGGTTAGGCTTGAACTCAGGTTTCATCTTGTGACCCCCTAATTCCTGTATTAGGAGGGATAGGAAATAATCAGTCCCTGTCTGCTTTCTCTTTCCCGTTTAGGAGTTTTGCAAACCCTTACCTTGTCTCTTTTCTAAACCGAATGGGCCTGGCCTCGTCAGCCTCCCTCTGTACCACTAACTGTCCCGGCTGCACTTCCCTGGACCGTCTCTACGCTCTCGATGTTCTGGGTCCTCTCGACATTCCTTGGGCAAGGTTCGAAGGACACATTGAAGGCACGCCTCAAGAAAATGGATGCTGACATCAAGATGCGGGCAGAGCTGGCTGATTCCAGTGGTGCTGCAACCTCAGCCACGTTGTCCATTTTGAGATAAAGCATTTCGTCCTCAAAGCAAAGACAAGAGAGCGGAGGAACCAGAAGGAGTGGAACCCCAGCCCGCAGCCTGCTCGCCCCTGTGGAAAGACGTGCAGTTTCTGCAGATGGGGCGGTGGCTCAAGGATTGTCATCTCAAGACCCAACAATGAGCCCTCGAGATCATCCTCGAATCAAGGGATCGCCGACAGTGACAGTTCCTGGTTCCCTGTTCAGCCTCGTTGTTGGTCAACGATGACACTGAAGTTGATTCCTGCCTCCCGGTTCCTGGTTCCTTCTTGTCACGTTCTCTTTCTACAGTAATAAATGACTTGGCAACCCATGCGATGTGGTAAAGAGTTCCATTTTCCATCACCTGTGTTTCCTAATAACAATATAATTTGCACATAAAACTTGCTAATAAAACAGTATGAGACCTGACGAAGAATGTCTTGCACGCCAAAGCTTGTCTAACTTTATTCCCACCACATAGTTGTTCAATAAAAGATACAGTCCTAAAAAGTCCTTGCCTCTGGCACAACTTCTGGGCTACCGCAGCTACAATATCACTCTTAGACTATATTGCATACAGTATCAGAACTAGGGAATGATGGCCCCAGTGCAAGCATAATTGTTGTCCCCTCACCCCATACAACCACACAAAATGCACAAGCACACGCACAATAATTACATACATGTATGTAACAGGCACTGGCCATGCTGCTGGCCTGGAAGGAGCTCCCAAACAAGCGGCAGTCAGAGGGAAACTGTGCTTCCAGGGGTTAAGAGGAGGCAGCTATAAAGCTGAAGTACGGTGCAGTAGTTTAGGGATTGAGACAAGGGGCAGTGGTGGTCTCAGCCAGCCTGGGAGCAGGGTGCAGCCAGGAGCCAGAGAGGATGCAGGCCCAGGGGCAGGAGCAGGGCAGAGCGAACGGTAGCATCTGTAAGGCTTGGGTATGGTATAAGAAGTGGTTGGAGTCACGTAATAAACCCTTACGGTGCTGAGTAGCAGCACCTAAACAGCAGCATCGGATCAGGGATCCTTGGGTAGCCTTCCTCTCCAGGGATTTAATAACAATAAGGTGTAGCAGGTGAGGTGAAGGGGAGCAAGCTTGAGAGACAAGGGCAGAGCAGGAGCTAAGTGGCCATCTATGGGGCCAGCACCTGCTACAATGTACAAATAAAGAGTAAAATAATATTTTATTTCTTCTTCACTTACCACTACTATTGGAATTTCATCTTTTATGCCTTCCTCTCTGCAAATTCATCAATAAGCTGGTCTAAAGTTTCCTAGCCATCCCATTTGCAATAGACAGTATTGCAACCATGAAGCCTTTCTTGTTCCATTGTACTATGCACTTCATTATTCTGAGCTTTGAGAAGGAATGTTCAGCACTTGATACTGTTAGGGGGATGGGAAAAAACAATGCAATTGCCCTATATACAACAGAAAAACCTGATGACAAAGCACTGTTATCAACAATCACTAATTTAGCCAAATCTTCCACTGTAAGTCACCAAAAATTTCTTATGTTAGATATGCTCTAAATTCATGCAGCTGTCTAAGCGAGGTGACAGAAAAGTCCCTATTTGTGTTGTTTCACTCGTTTTTTAATTTCTTAGCACAGCTCTTCTACCCTGCTGTTGGAATCCTGGTCTGCCACGCGAGTAACCTGGGCTCTATTCCTGGGTGCGCATGTAACTACAGCTATCAAGGCACCCGCTGTCCAGACTCAGGCTGGCCTTTGGCTTCTGTTTTAATGGTTTAAGGGGGGATGCAAGGTCTGGGCAGCCTCTGCTCCTCTGTGCTTCTGTCTAGGTGTACACGTGGAAGGTCTAGGTGACCTCTCACACACAAACCATGATCCAGAAGGATCAGTGGTTGTTTGCCACTAGTGCTACTACAGCTTTTCAACAGTTGCTGATACAAGTGTTTTCAGTGGAGTTAAACTTTGTAACGATTGTATCCAAACTACAAAAACAATGATAAAATGATATCCAAACAGAACACAATAGAATACATTCTCTTTGAAATCTCTCTCAGTGTCATTCGATTTTTCATTTTCACATAATTGATCAAAATACACTTTTACTTTCTTTCTATGTTTCAGTTCCAACTTAACCTCCACATCCCACTTTTCTGACATATTGATGGCCCTTTGTTTGGCTTCTTTGGAATTATTTTGAAACAACACAAGCAATGTGTTACTTTGTGAAGTAGTGTTATAGCTTTGTCTAGGTGTATGTCTGTAGAGGGAGAGTTTACGGTTTCCAGAATTTTTGTTTGGAATACAACAGGAAATGGAAAAGAAAAAATCCTAAGTCGTTGGTTTTTTTTTTTAAATTTGAAGCTTCATTATATTTGTTGACCTTTTCACTCAGGAAGATTATTCCTGAAGGCCTGGAAAGTGCCTTCATTATAGTGACATACTCCTGTGACACTTCTGTATGTCCACTCCATCCCCTCTGATGCTGTTTAAGAACAGCACCCCTTCGATCAGATATTTTGTGAAATCCCAGAAATACCTACTTGATTTTCACATCAGTTGCTATATTCATGTAATTGGTTGCTACTGTTACAAAATGAACAGTGTGACTTAGCTGGTCTTTGCAATGTCTTGAGTTATATCTATTATAATAGAGAAAAATGGTGCACTTTTGATTTCTTCACCAATCCCTCTCAACAAATTTTAACAATAATGCAGTGATTTTGTTTTGATTGTGATTACTGAAATACCAAGTGGAATTATTTGGCATATTCATTCACTGTTTCAACACTAGGCAGACTGCTGGGGGTGTGGAAGCAGGATAGCGGGGAACACTGTGTTTTACTTGCGCAGGTCTCCAGGTTTCACATGCTCTGGAAGCTGCTGTGCCAGTTGGGGGGCAGGGTTAAAAGACTGGGAGAAAATGTCCATTGTTGACAATGCCTAAAACCTGTACCCCATGAAAGCAAGGTTACATGTCACCATTGTTAAAATGGCATTGCTAAGACACTCAAGTACTCATCTCCAGAAGCTCTGTGCTCTCTGAATTTCTTTTTTGTACTTTTTAACAGCAATGCCACATAATCTCCATTGCTGAAACACTATGCAAGCATTTGAGTGTGCATGTGAAGTTTCATGATTATCTGTCCTGTCAGGTAAATGACACTAGTCTCTAGCACCTCTCACCCATGCCGCATTACATATGGAAGAACTACAGTCAGCGAAGAGCCAACATGGCTTGCGGTAGGCACCATCCAACTTAAGTGAATAACAAAGCCACGTTTGGGGTATGATCACTCCAGCCTTTGTTCTGGTATCCTGCATTTTGGCTAAGATCAAGTTTAGCTTGTACCCCTTCCATGAACAGTTGTTGATCTTTCTGTTGCAGTCACAATCACCAGTATTAGCACAGTGAAGAAATGTGCTTGTTTTGGCTAATTCTGCAGACGTTTTCAACTCTTCCTTCTTTTCCTAATGCTTTTGTGCCCCACTTTATGTTTAGGTGGCATTCTCAAGAACAGTTAGGCTTGGCAGGATTTGATCTTTATTAGTAAATGTTGATAAATGTTGATTTCATCTCACACAGACCACCAAAAAATATTTTCATTGTTAATAAGCAAAATTTATAGAAAGGGGATGTAAGAAAAATGATGGCTGATGGGAGTGCGTGATGATGACAGGGGGAGCAATCCTACAGAACTGTGTTGACTGTAGTTTGGACTGCAACTCCCAAAAACCCCAGGGGACTGGGAACAAAGGAAGAGGAAGTGACAAAGTGGATGAGGGAACTACAAGCAAGTGGAGCTGGGACTGACAGCTAGAAATCTACACAAATCGTGGCAAAAGTGCACTGCTCAACAGCTCTTTTCACCTTGCTTTTACTGCCATGTGTTCCCGCCCCCTCCTCCCCCACTGCTGATTGCACCCATTGGCCCCACTGCTCGCCGCTCAGTGACAGACCAGGAGGCAAAAACCATGGTTTTAAATATGCTGTGGTTTTTGCCATATAAATTTGTGTTCTGTTTGTGTATATGCTGTGCTTTGGGGGAAAAAAGGGGTGAAAACCTGGCTCTTCCCAGCAGGGGCCCAGGGCTGCGCTTAGGGTGGATGGGGGCGGCACTGGGGGGCGGTGATGACTATGCGGGGCTACAGCCACCTCCGAATTCACTGTAGCCCCCACTCTCAGCACTACCACCACCTGCCACAAGCACAGCCCTGACCCAGCCCCTCTGCTGGGAAGAGGCTGGCACTGCCCCTGGCCCCAGCCTGCAGTGGCAGCCCAGTCTCAACCCACGCACAGATTCAGGGGGCCTGTGCCC